AGAAATTAGAGGTACCTCCTAGCCTAACAACAAGACAAAAAAAATTACTTAACAAGGAATTAGTTCTTGCGAACGATTCAAATAACGAGTAGGCCCTATTTCAAGTTCTTCATTTCACACTAAAACAACACAATTCTTATTGTAAAAAAAATGTAACTTTTGCTAATTAAAATCTGAGTAAATAAAAATGTTTGAAATGAATCCAATTCTAAATATTCTCATACAACATTTTAAAATTTTATTGCACTAAGGACTACTAACCCTTAACACTCTTATTTCAACCCTTAACATTCTTAAAAACAGAAAGCTAACGATAATTTAAATACCATTAAAAAATATAATTATTTTTCTCAACTCACGCAATTAACCCTTAAAATCGAGCAAAATCGATATTTTTTGCTTTACTACAAATACTGCATAAATTGTTCATCCTAAATGTATGCAATCCTTGAAATAATTTCGTATATGAATGAAAGTAATTTCTATAATGCGGTACATACCGTGATTTCTTTTAAAAGCAGTATCTTCACTTGTTGAAGGCAACAACGCTACATTATAAAACAATTGGTTTGACCCAACTTTATTTAATTTAAAAGCTCTATTATACATCGCACATTTGCGAGAACAATGACATAAGTCAAAACTTGCTTTTACGAGTATTACTATTATAATTATTTTAATATATAAAGCTTTTCTGTAACAAAATAATACAGAAAACTTATTCATATATTTGAATAGTTCTTTACCAACATCTTTACTGTCGATGTTAATTTACACTCGGCTATAAATACTTCAAATTCCGGAAGTCGAAGTTATATTTCAGAGTTGTGTCGTTATTCTTCACAGTGTGCGATATATAAACATATTTAGTAGCTATTGTGCAACTTCAAAATGTGCACACAAACTTTATACCATTATTAAAACCACATAAACGTAATAAATTTTACACATTACAATGAATATTGGTTTTTATGTATGTGGTTATTTAATGGTACCATAATTATTATTAATTTTCTATTGAAAAAAATATATGGTAAATTCAAATTTTTTGTTAATAAGCAACTAATAAACTTTAAAAATCTAGCATATTTTATTTTACAAAGCATAAAAAAAAAAATTCAAATATTGCAAATAATTTAAATTATTTATTCATTTATACATGTGTATTTTTAACAGGTGAAATAAATTTTTTCATATAGGTAACTGCCTTGTTAAAATTATGTAAAATATTCGCTTGAATCTGCGATTATGTAAAATTAATTTGTGGTAATTCGGTTTATTTTTTTTTTCCTACATATTTTTACATAATTAAATGGAAATGAATATTTTATCTAACATACTGCTGTAAAATCAGGTTAACATTATTTTATATAGATAAAATGAAAATAGAATGCAAAAAATTTAACATAGAAATTAAATATTTTATAAAAAATTTAAAAATTCTGGAATCTAAAAATTTATTGTAAGGCTAAAATGAAATTCATGTTGTTGCACAGAATTATGCACAGAATTTCTTTTGCTGGCTTTTATATTATGCATAAATAATTAACTAGAATGTAATGAGGATTTTCATTGATTCAATGAACAAATTGTGTACTTAAAACAAAAAAGTGTTAATTATCAAACTCAAAATTGAAAAATCGGTCAGCGCAACTATACTAAAATAAATTTCATAGAAAGTTTGGTATTAATTCAAAACTAGATTTTTCTTGAAATAAAAAAATTATAGTCTAATTCAAGTAAAATTTTTTATTTGGAATAAAAAGCATTCGATAAGGTCTAGTGAAATAATTTTGAAATATATTAATAATTTTGAAATTCAAACTTTCCAAGTCTGCAAAAACACTCCAAGTCCCTTTTGGCCACATTCGAAGTTCGCCAAACAAATTTGCATGGGGTACCGGAAAAAGATGATAAAATATTTTTTTTTTAATTTTTATTTATTTTGCAGCTGTACTCAATCTGCAAATGGCTCAAGAGCCCTGCTTAATAAAGACTCATATTTTTCCCGCTTCCCAATTTACTGGCCTTCTTTCTCTCCCCATTTTTGTCTCCTCATTTCTTATCAAACCAAAGAAAACTTTATTTTTTTGAATCAAATTTTTAAAGAGATACAAATTTTTTAAAAATTCGTCCCTCGCTATATTTCTAAATTATTGTGAAGAAAATAATTTTTTTCAACTTTTAAAAAAAATTTAGAAAATTTTTTACTAAGCACACATACATAGTTGTTATTCGAGAAAAAAAAATTTTATAATAATTCTCAAATGCTCTGACTGTGAAAATTTATTAAAAAGTTTGGGAAAGAAATTTTCAACAACAAAAAAAAGAAATAATTTTAAATCTATAGCTACTTGTACTTATATTTACAAAATTATTATAAACTTTGGAAAAAAAAAAGTTAAACTTAAATTACACCAGAGAGTAAAGATGAATAAATAACTGAAAGTAACTTTTTTTTATAGCATAATATCAATTTGCTTTTACTTTATGACTGTGATTTTTATGCTATCAATAGAAAATATTAAGTAAGAGGATACGTAAAGACAAAAGATAATGGCAGATGAAACGAAAACTTCAGCAAAAAAAATCTGCATAGGTGCATGATCTCTGAATGACAGATAAAATGACAGATTGAAGTTATTAAAGTGATGTACCCAAGTTTATATAAGATTTAAACAGAACCATATTTCAAAAAGTAAATTAAGTAGTTGAAGAGCACAGGCTCATAACTGAGGTACATTCTTTAACTCAATGTTCGTGCTCATTATTCTTTGCTTTGCATAATGTTACTACGTCTGTTAAGGTAAATTTAACCCAAATTACCTGCAACTAAAACTACTATTATTTTCTCCTAACTCGGTATTTTATTAAATAAACTTTACTAAAAATTAAAAAAAAAATGTTATTCATGAAATTTTATTTAAAAATTTTTTTTTTAGAAAAAAAAAGTTTCAATATTGAAAAAGAAAATATTTTTGAGCAAAATTTAAGTATTAAAAACTTGCAAAGTAACAATACAAGTGTATGAAAGCCATAATTATTAGAAAACTTTAAATTTTGTGATTCATTAATAATAAAAGTACTAAAAGAAAAGAGGTATGATGTGAACTTGTGTCTGCAACAGATTTCTTTAAACTGATGTGTCTTAAGTTGGATACCACAACCATTCAAGGAGATACCGCTTCCTGAATAGTTAACGAAAATTTCATTGGAGTGTCACTTTTGAATTAGAGAAATTTACTGGCATTGATTGTATTATACTGGCAAGAACACATCTATTTTGATTAAACTTAAACTAAACGATAGAGTTGACCGTGATCAACTTTATAATACCAGTACGAATGAATGATTTTAAGAGTTGTATTGAAATTGCCACACTGTTTCACACAACCTTATTTTCTTCTATGCATATTGCTATTTTCTACTTATATGCCAGTCACCACAAAAACTCATACCATCTCAAAGATTCTTAACGAAAATTAAGGTCATTTTACCATATTGTTTATTGAAAATTTCAGCATGGTTTTTTCACTATAGTTTCTATAATATACGACAAAATGACATGCAAAGTTGTATGATATAACCTCATATATATATATTGTTGTATATGTAACCTCAAAGTTGTATACATAACCTCAATAATTCCCGAAATTATGTCACATAAATAGAGTTCCGACATTTACTGTTAAAAATCATTGTGATCATTTGTTTTTAAGTTGTTGTTGAGACGAACGGACAGAACGTTCGCACGGTTATAAACAACTTGCCACCTCATATGACATTAAACGTAAAACTTTTATGACATTTACCATAATTCCATCTTCATACTTGTGAGTATATTACAAAAACAGAAATTAAATATAGAATGTGGCAGAACACTGCTGCATAACCATCATCTAGTAATTTAAAAATTAAATTGCTAGGTGAATCAATCTGAACAAGTTCATTATTCTAGATAAAATTCAAAATTTTAGATTGTTTATTTAAAAGCAATATTTTTACTTTTGGTATCAGTCACTTCGACTTCTTTCACGAATTATCGATAAAAAATTAATAATCAGCCGGGAGAGAAGTGTGATATCGCAATCTCAAATAGTCACTCATTCAGTTGAACTATAACTCCCAGTAAACTAAAGTTTTCAACATTATGCAAATACAATAAATCGAATACAGCACTTTGACATAACAAAATAGTGCCCATTTGCATTCTTATACAACTCATTTCAACTCATAGTTCTTATAATTTTGTAATCATATTAAACGAATAATATTGGCAAGTCAAACAGAAAATGTTTTGCCGTTTAAAAACAAACAATTGAACAAAAATTTAAAAATTTAAATTCAATAAAAATGAAAATGAATTTTTGATAATTATTTATGTATGTAATTCTTGTCTTTTTTATTTTCCAATTTCGAATGAATAAATAATTTTCAATTTTATATGACAAACTGTCAATCATCTCTAATGACAAGTCATTAGAGAATTCAATTCACTTCTTTCCTCTCTTCTGACTCATTTTCCTTTTGTTAGTTAGTTGCAAAAATCCTTATATAAATAGAAATTTTTACAATTTAATTTTTGCAGTACTTGATTGTTTTCATTGTAAAACATGACTTTAACTTGTATAAAAATAACAATCATACTACTATTGTTACCAGTTTTTGTTAGTGCATCATTGAATATTGAATTTTTAAAGGATATTTTGTACACTTTAAATACTTATCGTCATGTTGTTTTCTTTGGATGTTCTACAAGAGGTTTGTATTTACTATGTATTTTAATGTTCTAAATTGTATTGAAGAGGAAATTCTAGAATCTTTATTAATTAATTTCTCGTCTAAAGTTTGAAGACTTTCATGTTGAAGTTGAAACTTTGAAATTATTTTTAAAATTTTAAAAGTGATACAATGTTTTCAAGAAAATCAACGTGCAATATTTCAACATTGAAGCAGAATGTGGGTTATTTTAATATAACACAAACGATAAAGGAAAATAAATGACATTTCACTGCAATAGTTTCTCCGTAACAAGTGAATTCAGAGATTGTTTTGACGAAGTTGGTAGCTGTATGGTCAAAAATATCTTGAATTATCAGATATATTTTAATTGAACCAATTGAGTGCATAACTTTATTCTTCAAAGCTCTTATTAAGAATTTAATATAAATTCATAAAAAATTTTCTTTTACAAATAAATAATTCAATATCTTCTATTCTTCTTAGACTCTTTAAGCGCTGCTAGAACAATAATCTCACAACAAAAATCTTACAAATATGTAAATTTAGAGAAAAATGTTTCGGCACAATTTCAAGAAATTTTACGATATAAATTTTATTCTCCATCTATTGCTCTTCTTGACGTTTCTTGTACTAATGCAACAATAGTATTAGAACAAGCTTCTAAATTGAAATATTTCAACAAAACATACCAATGGTTGATTATTGATGAAAATCTTAATTCAAACGTTTTGGAAACTTTGAACTCGACAATGGAAATTGGTCTTAATTCACAAATTTTGTACATTAACAAAACTGAATCAAATTCTTACGAATTATATGATGTTTACTCTAAAGGAAGGCATATCGGAAGTCCAATGAATATTTCATTTTTTGCTAAATGGTCTTATAAGAAAAGATTAGAAAAGGCTAACGAACTGCAAGAAATGCGAGAAATCATACATCGGGGTCAATTTAATCTGTTAACCTTAAGAGGTGTCATAGTTGTAAGTATATAAAGCTTTTGAAATAATCTTCAAAATTGTAATAATACTAAATATTTCAAAGATTGACAAAGATAATATTACGACAAATGAACAAGTTTTTAAATTACTTCAAGCTGAAGATTATAAAAGTGTGGGTTTGTTTTCAATGATAAAATATGCTTCAGAATTAGTCAAAGTTATAAGTGATCGTCTTAATTTTACAATCGATTATCGTGTAACTAGAGGTTGGGCCGGTCGTTTACAAAATACATCTTATCGTTTAGGTTTAATGGGAGTAGTACAACGTGGTGAAGTTGATATTGCTGCCTCACCAAGTTTCTTAAGAATAAGTCGAATTAAAGATCTAGATTTTTATCATCAAAGTTGGATTTTTGAAGCTGGTTTCATTTATGTTTATTCAAATTTAGTAAAGCACAAATCAGGTGGAGGAGATTTTTTAGCACCATTTAATCATAATGTTTGGATTTTTTCATTAATATCTTTTATATTCATAATTGCAATTTGGAAATATTTTGATATTATATCAAAAAAAATTAAACTGCATAAAAAAGGAAATCAAATGGTTATCACTGACAGCGTCTTACTTCAATCAGTTGCTGTAATTTGTCAACAAGGTGAAAAACATCAACAATTATTGTTCACTAAAACTTAAATAAATATTTTAGGACTTGATCCAGCTCCAAAGAAACCTGCAATAAGAATTGTCGTGTTCTCTTTAATATTATTTTCTCTATTAATGTACAACTATTATACTTCTTCAGTAGTCGGAGGCCTAATAAGTAATAATGATCCCGGTATTAAAGATCTTGAAGAACTTGCAAAAAGTCGTTTAACTTTAATATTTGAGGATATAGGATATAATAAAGTTGTAATGACGGTAAGAATTATAAGATATTTCACTTTTTCATAAAAAAAATTTGAATGCAATTGGCATTTTCTCTTTTTCAAAATTAGGAGCCGACAAATCGATCAATTGTAATGAAAATACGTAAGAAATTCTTTTCACAATCATATACTTCTTACGAATTAGATGGTTACACAACACTCTCAAAAGCAATTTCTTATATACGAGCTGGAACACATGCTTATCACTGTGAATTTATACCACATTATGATGAAATTGCTAAAATATTTGATCCAAATGAAATTTGTAATCTACGAACTATAACTGGTTTATTGAAACATGAAACATTAGCGATGGTTTTAACTAAAAAATCACAATATTTAGAAATGTTCAAAATAATGTAAACTTTTTATTTTATTCAAAGATAACAAGAAATATAAACGAACTTCATTTTCAGATTGACTAGAGCAAGAGAAGTAGGTATTGTGAAAAGAGAATTAAAAAGAATTCAAAATTCTCGACCAAAATGTCAAGGAGCTTTAACTGTTTCGCCAGTAGCAATGGCAAGTGTCTTAAATGCATTTATAATTCTAATGGGTAAGAGTGACATATTCAAAATGGAAGTTTCTCATTTTGAAAAATTCTTAATACTTTTTAGTTGGTGTTATAATTTCATTGATTATTGCTGGACTAGAAATTTCTTGGGTTAAATATACAAAAACGTATAGAAAATAAATTTTGAAAAAATTATAAAATTTTAACTATTTTAACTTTGAAAAAACCTAGACCATACACTAACACTAAATAATTACCTTATTTAGTTGTATTGGAGAGGACGATTCAGAAGAAAACCAAAAACCTTATACACAATAATTCTACAAAATACAATATTATTAAAATATCCCTATGCAACACAGCTTAAGAATATAAATTGCCCAATTATATGCAAATACTTACATAGCACGTGTAAAATTACTTTATTTCGGTGTTTTCCTCACAGTATAAAATTAAATGCAAGAAGAAGAGAACAAAATAATATATATTGTTTTTTATTTCCTCTAATCCTTTTACAGGACCCTTTTTTTACAACATGTAGAAGAAAATACTAAATAAAATAATAAGGGAACAGGGCCGTATTACGAAAGAAACTTCTTATACAACATTTCAATTATCAAACCCAGAATTTGTAACTTTTGACCCAGGATTATCAAAATATTTAAAAATTTTGAACTCTTTACTAAAAATAAATAAAATTTTGTAAAAAAAGACCTAAGGGGTTAAGAATTTGTCAATGCTTCAACATAATTTGTAGAAAATTCAAAAGTTTTAGAAATATAAGCTTTATAATTATGTAAGTTTTTGCAAATTTTGAGAAGATTATCGAACCTATAGCGCAGCAGAGTATCTTATTCATTTTAAAATGCTATATAGATTTTGCTTCTTAATACTTATTTTGTTTAATAATTTACCGCCCTACCTTAATCCTCAAATTGTTTACAACCAACCCTGATTTTAATATTAAAAAACAAAATTTCAATTAAAAATTATATTTTAGTTTTCATAAAATTTTTTCAACAAAAAAAATTCAGCATTTTCTTTCTCTTTTTTCTGCTTTTATTTTAAAATATCCTATTTCATTTTTAAGTAACGAACCAAATATAATACAGTATATTTAAGTATCTAGTATAAAGTATATTTAAAAAAATATTTCGATTGATCCCTTAAAAGAATTAAATCCTTCAGGGATGATATAAAGAAAAAATCGAAGAAAAAAATCTTTAAAAATGTTGCCTTTTTTTTTCTTACAAAATGTTATAAAAAAATAAAAATATAGCTAGGTAAATTTCCTTGGAAAAATACAGGGTCAATTTACTTCATTTAATATTTCTGTTAGTCTATCAGTCGAAATCTATATTTTAAGTTCCGGAATGAAATAAAATACGATAATGAGAGAAATATTCGAAAATTTGCACTTTAACTATAATTTATCAGGCACACAAAAATTATACAAAATTTAAAATAGGAACACTATTTTCAAAATATTTTCGAAAATTATCCCTGCACACTCTAGTAGTGTAGTAATTAAAGGAAACTGAAATTGAAGTGAGCGCGCCCGTTAAAATACAATAAGGTAAAATTGCATACTTTACGGCGATTTCTTGATGAATTTATCTGAGAAACATTGTCATCGAGTTCGGTGTTATTACATAAACGCTAAATTTTTTTCCTATAACAATTTAATATCTTTTGTTTTTTTCTTTTTGCCTAAATATTTTCTTGGAAAAATTCCAGAAAATATAAAATTCCTTTCAAAAGAATTTTCATTCCATTTTTTTTGCGTTCCTTTTTTTTTTGTAATTTTATAAATCTAATTTTCTGCGTATTGCTATTTTACTATATTTTTTTTCGTGTATCACAAAATATCGAACACGACAAAAAAATATCAAATTAGATAAAAAAAAAATATTCCCTTTTTTTTCACATGATTTTTTTTTATTAAACTTACCTTTTGTTTTTATTTCTTTCCAATATTTGCAGTAAAAGAATAAAGTGTACACCTTTTCTTAAATTTCCTCTTAAGTACTGGGGTTCAAACCTTTTCTTAAATTGGTTGCATTAAGTTGAAAAAAAAAATTAAAAAAAAAAGAAATTTTGTATCAAGGTCGTATCTTCCAATTTCTTTTAAATTTTAAATACAAATTTCATAAATTTTACTTATATACACTTATATTATAATAGACGACGTTCCAATATTTTTATAATTTAAGCTATTTGAATGTGCTTTTTAAAAATATCATAATTAATATTTATGCGCCCCAATTCAAAATTTTAAGAAAAGTATTTTAGTATTACATGAAAAAGAGCGATAATACAGAATGCAACATGCTTGTACTACAAATGAACATGTATGAGATACATAATGTTTGATACTATTAAAATTAGTATTTGCATAAGAGAAACAACACAAAATAAAATATTACAGGTTTTGTTTTACTAAGATATTTTCGCTCAACTGATAACGACGACCACACTCTATTGGGTTAGGGCTCAGGCAGACTTACAATTTTTAGTTTTGCAAGTTAGTCTAGTTTTATTGCTCGATTGTAAAATTGTTAGCCGTACATCTAAGCTAGTAAACTCTTGCGTTAATTCAAATCGATTCTGTTAACTAAAAACTGCAATCAGTTTATTAAAAATTAGAAACTGTTTAATTGCTTAATTGCATGCGATCAGTTGCAGTTGCACACGTGTTGCTTGAATATAAACCTATGGAATACAAATAAGAATGCAAAGAGTTAGAAACTTAAAAATTGATCTAAATTGATGATTAATGATCTAAATTTACCCATTATTGATATTATAATTTATTATTTAAATTTCTTCTATTAAACCACTTACAATCTTATACGTGTATATGTAGTAAAAGAGTGATTAATCCGTAAAGGACTAAAATTAAATTTTCTTTCTAAAAAAATGCACATCACATGTTTTTTATAAATTTATGTACATGTTTTTTATAAAGCGACAGCAATAGATAAATGACAAAACTTATATTTAAATATTAAAAGGGAAAAATATTTTATTCTTTAAAAATATTTCTAAAATTTAAAATAAACTAAAAATATCTGATCTAAAGATTTAAGAGAAACCCAATGAAATTTTTGTAATCACAAATTTTATCATTATTAAGTTTTCATATTTAAAGTGCATAATAAAATTATATTTAATGTAACTAAATATAAAAATATTTAAATGAAAGACTCTATTAATAAAGATAGCAAGTACAAGTGTATACATGCCATTTTTAAATAATTTTCATACTAAATTAAAGTTGCATACTAGATATAGGAAAAACTTTCTTTTTTTTTTTACATTAAAAATTTTGTTGTGGTTCCGAAAATTCAGAAAGAAAAACCAATATTTGTTAAAAGTAAACATAAGCCATTTTCAAAAAAATGTGAAATTTTATATACGTAAGTATGTATATCGGAAAAGTACTTGTAATTTACCCAAAACAAATTGATATTTTTGTTTCAACCTGTTTTCCTATTTCTTTTTTAATTTTTTATTATTTTTATTTTTTCTTTTTTCGTAAAATACATAACAATTTTACAAAATTAATCATGCAGAAAATTAAACATACAATATATATGCATAGATATAAATATAATGTACACATGTATATACTTACACATAATAATATACTTACAATGGCATATTTAATTTTACATATTCGGCAATGATGCAATGAATCCAATTTACACAGTCATTTTATTTTGGGAAAAAACAAAAAAGTGAAAACCAAAGTTGTAGTTGCTGCAAAAATATGCATGAATTTATCAAATTCATTGGAACTCAAATATGAAAATGAAAAAAAAAACCCGAAAAGAACTTATCCAATTAAATGTCAAAAGTTCAAATCTCAAAACATTAAGCAACGAATTATAAGACGCATTTTCAATTTTGCAAATATTCCAAAAAAAATGTGCAGTTCTTTTTAACATTGTTTACTATTATTGCAATTTAAATATGAAAAGCAAAAAACAGTGCTGCAACCCCCCCCCCTCAAACCCTCCTTATTATAATAACAAAGCTGCAATTCAAACACGTTTATTACTATGAATTTCGAAATTATTAATGCGATAAGTGAAATTTTGTCAAAAATTAAATGCAATGAAGGTGTGAATAGGTGATATTTTATGTTCCTTGTAAAGCAGCTTATTTATTTAAGATTTCCTAAAAAAACCATTCTAATGAAGTATTATAAGTATGCGATATTTAAAGAAATTGCTGTTTAATTCAAATGCTATACAATGTGGAACATTGTATAATCAAATACATTCTATCTTAACGTTGTCTATTTAATCAATTTATTTAAATTTCCCGAAAACGCTACAAATTTTTTAATTTAGGTGCAAGTTTACTTTAAAGATTTTTGTTGACATTACTCTAATTTCCATAAAAATCTTATATACCTAGATGTGTGAATTTGTTAGAAATGCCATTTTTCAAAAAAAATTCTCAATTCATTTGAAAACGAGTTTTTCACAAAACTTTTTAGTAAGAATGGCCATTTAAAATATCATTGCAAAAATTTACATTTTTACATCCTAATAAACAGATACATTTACAAGATGTATGAATGTTTGTATATGCGTAACATTTTTATTTTTTAACCTATTGTAATCTGTAGTATACTTGAAATTTATTCAATATTGCTAATATTTGAAATACCTCTTCATATTGATAAAAACTTTCCATTTAAATCCTCAATATTTTTACAATAATTGGGTTTTCTGACATATTATTCGCATTCAATTAATTTTTAATATATGTGATGGGTTTGTTTCCCAGCTAAGCATATTAAGTGTTTCTTTATTTTATTAACCCTAACAAAGTCTGAGAAAGAGGGACAAAAGCAAAATAATTCTCTTAATTTTAAGATACCTATTACCTCATTAAAATTATACATTCTCTTTAAATGAAACACAACCGCGGAATTCAAAGTGTTAATACACAATGTACACAAAACCTTGTATGGAAAATTTTAATTGCAAAAATCCATTTTTGTAACTTTATACTTTGCATAAGGTTTTTTTTTTAATAAAGCAAAATTAAAATTAACATTCAATAATAAACAATCGTATACATACATACATACATATGTATTTATGTAGAACGAATCTATTCAGTTACATTTACAATATAT